TCAAGTGCATTTCTCTTCCCTCTTAACCTTTAGTTTAGTGTCTTTTCACCGCCAGCCACGTCGTTGTCGAGCCCAACCTCACCACCAATTGTCAAGCCTCATCTCACTGCACCCAGTCTCTCACTGTTCGATTTTGCTGTGACCTAACCCTCCGCCACTCAATGCCGTCGAGCCCCATTGCTGCTGTCGCAACCCAACCCAACCTCCACACCTCCGGTCAATTGTATTAAAAAAAAGGTTGAACTAACAAAAATTAAGTCGGTGGGGGCTTCATCTCATAGCAATTGATCGGATATTTTTGGAAACTGACCATATGTTAGTCAATAGAGATTTTGGCCAAAAACTGACCCAATCGATGTACAGCCCTTGTGTTCAATGGTCACAATCATAAAAGATATAAATTTGGCTTTTTTTATATGCAAAAATTTATTTTAATTCTTTAATTATTTTTAGATTATTAATTGTCCACCAACCAGTTTTAAAAATAAAACTTAGGATTTGGAATGTAATTTTTCATAATTTAAGTTGAAATTGAACTACTATTGTTACTGTCAATGTTTGAAACTAAGTAAATATATGTTTTAATACATAAACCACGTGGTTTGAATAAAATAAAATTATCACTCGAAATATATATATCCACATTTTTATTGGTTATGTTTTGTAATTCTTCGAGTCAATATATTTAATGTATAACACTAATTATATTTGACAAGAAGAATATTAGGAATATGAATTATGGGTAAAAAATAAAAAGCCATATTTGAGAAAAGTTGGAAATTGATTATTGATGTACCATTTCTCGAAACATAGAAGGATTCAATGTTCAAAATTGACTATAAAAAATAGCCCAAACATGAAAAAGTTTGGGCTGCTAAGTGGTAGGTCCAATCATATATACATATATATATATACTTTCTTTCACATTTTTTAATAGGTATAACACCAGATAGTCATTGAAAATAGGCCATTTTTAAAAATGGTCAAACAACCTTCAATTTTTAATAATAGTCATGGTGAAGACTAGTACGAAATTACCCTCCCTAAAATGATTTTAAAATTAATATATTATTTCACATTTTCACCCTATATTTTTCCTACCTTCAAATATTTTTAGAATCTTACCTATATTTTCTAATTTAAAATTCTTTTAACCAATTTTAAGGAGAATTATACTAACAATAATATTCATTAATTTAAAATCTAAAAC